ACCCAAAATGGAACCCTGAAAAATGGAAAAGACCAAAGCCTGCGGTCCAATTCCTGGGCCAATATTTTGACCCATGTTAGAGAGCCGTGGGAGGAGCATTTGGGAGTGGACAAGCCTTCGATGGTGCAGCTGCACGAGGCTCAGGTGATTGTGAAGCGCGTGGTGGAGAAACATCAGCGCCAGCGCGCGACAAGGGAGTTCCACTCCGCCAAAGACTTGGTTTCCTCAGCTGACAAGGCTGAAAAGGCGGAAAAGGCGGACAAGGCGGACAAGGCGGGCGGTCGCAAAGTTTTGCAAAGACATCTTTCTCTTGGAAAGGAACCCAAAGGAGGTTGCTCAAAGAGTTTGGTGTGCTTTCTTGGGTTGACTGTGGTTTAGTTACATGTTAAAATAATGACCTTGTTTTCACTGGCCTCCATTTTATGAAGCAAAACCATTGGTGGCTGACGTTGCAGGGGTTGACCATTGAACACACAATCTATATTTGACACTTGGTTGCACCCATCGAGTCGCGCAGGCGGAGAAGGCGGCGTTGTTGCAACGCCAACGTGTCGGTGGAGAGGAGAGGTCAGACCTGTCGTCGTTGGACCACAGCGTGGCTGGCAAGGTGATTGACACATTTACAGGACCCGCAGCTTTGGTAACCAACCATCCAAAAGCAGGCTGAACACCTAGAGTCAAAGCTGAATCCCCGGAAACTGGGCTCAGCAGGACATGGGAAAACTGTTGCGAGGGACTGGTCTCTGTTGTGGCTTGAATTTAGGTGGTTCTACTTCTGGGACTCTAGGATTGGCATGATATTTGAAAGGAGTTGTCTCTATACAGGAGAAATACCTTGGATGTACTCCAAGTTACAGCGGAATCTGTTAGGTTGGTTGATTGCTGGGATTGGTGTGCGGTTGTAGGGAGAACAGATTGATGAGATGGCTGGTGTTCTTTGTCCAAGGATCAAAGTCAGGGCTGCCACGGTTTGTTTGATCGTGTCGGAGGCGACTGGTTGACAATTTGGGTTCTGTTCGTGACGGTGAAGTCAAAACACGCTGTTTCAATAGGCAGGGAAGGGAATGACCCGCCTATGAACCGTCCGTCAAGGGGATGCGTTGGTTCATTCAATGTAGCGGGTTTGTCTCCAAATCAACATCAGTTGGACCTCCCCAAAAAAAGAACTAGACCACGGTTGGCCCGAAAGCATAACATCGCAAGCGAGGTCGGCCCAACGCTGCAGATGCGTTCGTTTTCCCTACGCGAAGCATTCGTGAAGCAAGCGCGAGACAGCACCAGGCAAGGTGCTCTGCGCAAACTGGTCGGTGCAAGTTGGTCTGCGCAAGTTGCTCTACGCAAGTTGCAGTGTGCAAGTTGCTCAGCGCAAGTTGCTCCGCGCAAGTTGCTCCGTGCAAGTTGGTCCCGGCAAGGGGCTCCCTGCAAGTTGTTCTGTGCAAATTGATCCGTGCAAATTGCTCCCTGCAAGTTGCTCTGTGCAAGCTGCTCTGTGCAAGTTGCTCTGTGCAAGTTGCTCTGCGTAAGTTGCTCTGCGCAAGTTGCTGTAGGCAAGGCGCTCTGCGCAAACTGGTCGGTGCAAGTTGGTCTGCGCAAGTTGCACAGCTCAAGAGCTGTGCAACTTGCTCTGCGCAAGTTGCTTTGTGCAAGTTGCATCTTGCGACGCCCGCCCGCCGACCAGGGAGGAATCGAACCCGCGACCCGCCGGTCCCGGGAGCAGGCGCGCGAACCACGAGACAACTCCCGAGGACCAGTTCGAACAACAAAAGCCACAAAAACAACCTCGAGCTTTTGCGCCTCGACCACGCCGATTCCCGCAGAGGGTTGCGCGAGCACCGCAGAAATCGCAAAACACCTCAAGTTTTTGCACCTCGACCACGCCGATCCCCGCAGAGGGTCGCGCGGGAACTTTAGAAATCGCAAAAAACCTCGAGTTTTTGCACAACCAAAGAAGACGAAGCTCATAGGGGGTCTGTCGTTTGAGGGGTCAAACCAACTGGAAACCCAGCCCATTTTGACATTTGGGGCTCCCACAAAGCCATAGGACCTTTCGTGGATGCTGCCGGACACATCACAGACGGTACAGGACTGGTGGGCGATGCTTTGGGAGATGCCTACGAACACGCCGCAGACAAGGCGACAGCCAGAACCGTTTTGTCCTTTTTGGCCATTTGGGAGTGCCTTATACTGGCACCCTTTTCAAGGTTGGTTAAGGAAACCAAAAGGAAGACCCCCATCTTTGAGGGTCCCATAAATCTTTTGAATGTGTGTTTTGCATTTTTTCTCCATTTTCGGTTTTTGCCAGCAAAGCTTAATCAACCTTTAGCAGGTCTAGGTATAGCCAACAATACAGGGATATACAGAGTTCTGGTAGGATGCATCATCCCTCAAACCGAGGATTTGGAACCTCCAACTATCCTGGCACTTTCAAAGCGTATCCCCATCCACATGGGAAAAAGGAGGGTACCAAAAACAGAAGGGACACTTTTGAAGCGTATACCAAAACGAGGGCCCCAACTTTTGCTGAAAAAGGAGGGCACCAAAAGGGGCCAAAAGGGGAAAGAACAAAAATAGCGAGACACCACCGGGCAGCCACACACCAAGCAAGCTCCAAACCAACCAGTGTCAAAATCGAGGACCCCCAGATATCGGCGGGTTTCCTTGGCTTCCCGTTGAGCAACTATGCAACCACCCAAAAAGCCGGGCACACACGAAGAAGCCGACCGCTTTTGTTCCGGGAAACAGTGGGACAACAATCAAAACCTGGTTAGTAAGGGACAACCTTCTTAACTCTTCACAATCCCAACCAAAATGGAATGCCATTGCGGTTGAACGACCACCACAGCCACATTGATGACTCAGGTGGACTTCGTGGCGAACACAGCCATCAACACGGTGGAGATGGCCGTGGAAATCCTCTTGCGGGGCTTCTCCGACTGGAGTGGCAGGTGGGCCAACCCGGGACCAAAGCGGACGAGTCCGAGTTCTAGCTACGGGTCACCTTTTTTGGGACCCCGAAAACGGGTACCCTCCAAAAAAACAGTTTTTCTTTTTCTTTTTTTTTTCCGCAAGGTGGGTGAAAAGAAAGGGCTGTTCGGTTCTTAGTCGGTTTAGCAAGAATGAAATTTCATTCTAGAGCCAATTATTGGTGAAACTGTTGCTGAGGTGTGACGTCACAGAACCCACTGTCGGAATTTCCTCCGAAGCGCTTGAAGTGAACTTCGGCAGGCAGGGTTTTTGGCAAAATTCTGCTTCAACCAGGAAACTACACACAATATACCACCACCGATTTGTCCCAATTTGGGCTGTTTCAATACTTAGGGTTTCTCAATGAGGAGAAATGGCAAGTCCACAGGCCCTGGCCCCAATTGCTGTGATCGGATTTTCTTGCAAAACATCTGGCAGGCAGAGGTGCACTGTGAGCCTGATGGGTCAGGAGGCCCAGCTGTTCGACTTCAACTTCGGGACCCACCGCGGGGCGTTCCCCTCGCCGCTCCGGGCCGTGATTGCCATGGGAAGCGAGCTGCAGAACTGCGCGCACGCGGACTCTCCCCTGGCCCCCTGGACCCGAAGAAGCCTTTACAAATGGGCGTGAGCGCCATGTTTTTTTTCCTAGGTGGCGAGCCTCGAACGGGTTGGGGGCATGGGAAGTGAGTTCAAGAGCATAGGTGTCCTTTATAGGTTAGTTTGGTCAAAAACAGAAGGCGCTGGTTTGGATGGGGTTTTCTCCATTGACCAGGGTCATCTATAATTCAAGAGATTTTTTTCTTCAGCGATGTTTCTTCGGGGCTTCTGCGGACATGAGCCGTGAGGAAGTGATTAAGTGTCTTGGCCTCAAGATCATCGAGTGGGTGCCGCCCCTCAGCTACTTGAACCACATGCAGGACAGTCGAAACAGGGAACAAGGAATGGTCCCAAGTCCTCTCAGAGCGCGGCCAAAAGCGGCCTCACTTTTGAACTAGAGGTTTTGGGTAGAAGTCTTTGAGCCATTTTTTGAGTCAATTGGTTTGCATCGGCTTTTTCGGGAGGGTTCTTTGAGCAAATTGGTGTGAATTGTTGCTTGCTTGACTTCTTTCAAAATAACTTCAGCTTCAAAGGGATTTTCACCTTCACAAGAAATTTCAAGTTCGTGGACGCGCTGAGTGCTGTACGCGTGCTAGGATCGAACAGTTGTTGGTTCAGATTGTTGATTGCACGCAGGACATGCTCTCGGAGTTTTTGCAAGACTTTTCACATATCGCCTCCGGCTTGGTGCGACAATCCTTGAACCAAGGCCGGGCTTGTTTAAACCACCGGCCCCTCTTTGGGGAACCCCTTAAACGGAAGCCAAGAGGATGAAGCAAAAGACAAAGGAGGTTGCTAAAGAACACGTAGCTGATAGAGCCATGTTACGCCTGCTTCCATCGGAAGGCGTTTCCTTGGTGCAGAAGGCTTCCGAGTCCAAGTTCGGGAGCACTGATAGCCCGCCTGTGGTACACCACCAGGGCGAGAATTTGATCATCACTTCGCACACCCAACGCGCCAAAAACCCGCCCAAGCTGGACCGGGCGCGGACGTCGATGTCCGCTCTGCAAGCGGGTCCTGCAGGCGACCAGTCCAAGCAACTTCTTTGTTGCACCTCCTTTTCGTTTCCCGGCATCGGACGGAACATTTGAACAACTCGGTTTCCCAAAATGTGTATCGACCCTTTTTGGCTTAACCCCGCGTTCCAGCGTGGTTTTCCAACGTGGGCTTTCAACGAGGTTAAAACCAGCTCGGTTCTCCAACTTGGGAGACCCAACTTGGGTCCCAGCTTGGGTTCCCGCCCACTGGCCTCACTATTTTACCATGATCAAAGTCACCCCCTAAGTGGTGGGTAAAAGGGACACACCCCATTTTCTGTCTTTGAGAACCCCCAGAAACCGAATGGTAGGGTTCGCTGCCCCGCGTTGCGGCCAGAAAATCCCTCTGGCGCTGTGGCTTTCAGCTTCGGAGCAGAGTCTGGCACAGAGGCCACGAAACTCATGACCCAGTTCGGTGGCAGGGAGATGGAGACTTGGCGGATAGCGGGGGGAAGTTTGGCCCAGGTTGTTTTGTTTTGAAAAGAAAGCAGATGGATTCACTTGGTGGTGGCTTTGCTTTCTGTTTTGTTTCTTTTTCCCTGTCGATCAGCCCACATCTTGAGCACTGTCCGAATCATGTCCCAAAAGGCAGGCGTTCTTCTTCTTGTTTTCCGCGCGTTGGATCATAGTCAGGACACCAGCTCTTGCCTGGCCTTCGCTCCAAGGAACAGAACTGGGCACAACGGCCAAGCGACGCAGCAAAATTGGCAGGTGTCCAATGAGGATGACTTCCTCGCCTTGGAGCCCTATGCGGTACCCTGCGGCAACAATTGGATGAAGGACCACTGGGACAGGTGAGGAGAGTTCCGAAAAATGCAACACTAATATCACATATATATATACAAATTACCGGCCACCTACAAAACAAATAAGAGACAACAAATTGCTCCAACGCCGTTTTCTGTGGAGTTTTTTTGGTGGCCGAGCAGCCATTTTTTAGATTCGCCATTTCTGTTTGAGGTGGCAGGGCTTCTCCTTCTACTCCTCTCCTCTTCCCATCGACAAGTGCCTTGACGGACCTCTTTTCAGCCGAAGATTGGAGTGGAAGCCAATCTCCCGGCCCGAGCAAGAAATATGAAAACCACCCACGACTCTTTGGGACACGATGTCCAACCAGTCCAACTCCTTGGTGGTCCTTCTGGGGAGAAACCAACAGGAAATCCACCTGAAGGGGTCCGAACATTTTGAGAGACCCCGTTGGGTTCAGGGGTCACAAAAACTCACCCAAAAGGGGGGGGGTGATGTTCGGATCCTTCGAAGCCTCTTTTGTTGAAAGTCGTTCCCGCGACCCGGCCACATCCCCCCCAACCAAGCCCCACGCTTCGGCTTCGATGTGCTGAGGTGCATCACCGTGACCTTCCAATGGGGCATGCAACCCGTGGTGGGCGTGGTGGGGGGCTTGTCTTTCGAGGTGCTGCCCAAACCTTTGGCCAAGGCCTGGGCCTTCACCGACAAAAAACCACCAGATGCGAAGGTCCCCATCCAAACAGTTCGGGTCATGTTGGTTCCGTTGAGTATTTTGAGCAGGGTCCTGCGTTTGCATGCGTGCCCGGGGGCTTGACGGATTGCTTGGATCCAACGACCCCATGACAGGCTTGAAGCTCTTTTGAAATGCACAAACGGGCCTCGGGGGTTTCCCTTGCCAGCTTTCGAGAGCGTCTTCCCCTGCCACCTGCCCTGCCAACGTATGCTTCCGGGCCATCCAGACATCAACTTTCTTGTGAAAGTGGCCCATTAGGTAGAGACAAGATCTAAACAGATGCCCAGCAGTGGGGACCAGCCCCAGCTTTCCGGGCGACCCGCGGGCTCCGCGGGATCCGCGAAATGGATCGATCTGGATGCATCCCGTTCGATTCGGAACTCGGGTCGGTGGGTTCGGCTAGGTGGATACCACGGTGTGCTGGCCCAACCAACGGCCCGGGGGTTTGGATCTGAGCCTCGCACGACGATGTGGCGGTTTGGTCAAAACCGTTTGGAACGGGATCCCATCTTGGGGTTTTGGTGAATTCACCACTTTTTGGGCCCATAGTTCGTAATTTTAGTGGTTGGATTGGGATGCTCGGGGGTACGACTTGTGTTTTGACCCATGGCCATTTAACAAGAATTGACATCTCAAGTTGGACTTCAAGGTGACCCCAAGCTGCTTGGTTTCCTTTCCAAGTGGACCACTCCTGTTTCGGTCCGTGCGACCTTTGTCTCAGCCATTGTCTTCCTGCCCAAAACGGACTACTCTGTTGAGGTTCCATTTTTTGACATTAAAGATCGACTTCAACAGTCAAACTCAGCTGCCCCCCTTTTGGGAAAACGGGACACACAGTCGACCCCGGAGCATCAAGCAATGGAACCAAACGCCATTGCGCAGACAACCCTAAACCCTAAACCCAACCTCCCTCTAAATAGTGGTTAGCGAGAATACCCCTCAGAGCAATTTCGAGAACGTAACATGCGACCACATGAACAGAGTTCCGCAGTTGTCCCCTGCCGTCAAACCCATTTTTTCTAAAGCCTGGTGTTCTTTTTGTTTTTTTTCATATTTTCCATTGCTTTTTCTAAAGGCTGATGATGTGTTTTTTCATGTCTAGTTATTTTGTTTTTTTTCTTCTTTTGTTCGGGGCCTAAGGAGCGTGCTGCGTTCCGAGATCTCCACTGGGAGCGTGTTGCTCTACAGCCGTACCGTGCGGCTCGTCAAGCGCTTTGGTGGCTACGCTCCCTGGGACCATAACAGCCTCCGCACCGGCTGCTTGGAGTCGACCAAGGATTCACAGGGCTCCTTAAGAAATACATTTTGCCCATTTGAAACATGTTTTTTCCTCCAAAAAAAGAGCAACCATCGTTTACAAGGCAATGTTCAGGTGCATAACGTAAGGATCCCTGATTCATGTTGTAGTTTGGTGTGTTTTGTGGTGTTTTGCGAGGCGATCTCCTTTCACCTTAACGGCTTTAAAGGGAAGCCATAGAGGAAAGCCAACCGCCATTTTGCAGTTGTTGTTGTTTTGTTCCCCGCATAATTCATAGCTATGGGTGCAGCCACGAAGAAAATCTGACGATTAGTGACCCTTTAGGGGGTCATTCAGGGCTAGAGCCATAAGCTATTAAGGGAGAGAAGGAAGGGACAGACAACATATATGGCTGTGGCTCAAAAAACCGGTACCAAAATGGAACCCTGGTAAGTGGAAACTGTTGATAGGTAGTGGCATTCCGACATGATATTGGCTCAAGAAAAATTGACTGCCGCCCGTGCTGACATTTAGGTAGATTTGACCTTTCAACAGGTTATCAGCCGTATCGCTGGTACCTTGTACAGTCAGCTCTCACCCGCGCCGCAATGGCGTCAAGCGGCGACGGATGCCACCCTGCCATAGCAAGGATGAACGAAGCAGTGGCCAACGAATTGATCAAGGGTGGGCATCCGGAATGGAAACCGCCATGCAATCCGTCACAGCGCTCCCGAAGCAGTTTTCCTGAGTCCGACCAAGGCGATGCGCTTGTGCCCATCACGGTCGTTCTTCCGGAGGATTCAATGGGAAGCGGAGGGGAACCTCTCGCCGGACATCAACCTGGGCAAGAGATGCACGCGCGCGTGACTAAGACTGAGACTCACCTTCATCAACATCATGTGAGCGCCCCGAACATATATCAACGTAGCCAGACGGTAAATGTGGTCAACACAGGTCCGAGTACGGAGGAAGTGGCTGCCTATGCTTCGGCGCGCCACGACGCCATCATCAATCAGTTCTAAGCAGGCCATGTTGAGGAAAAAGGACGACTCTATCAGGACGCGGTGAACCACATCAATGTATGCCAACAAGAGGCAATGGCGAAGGAAAGAGAGTGCAACGAGGCAAGGCAGCAGTGGGTTGCTCAACGCTTGGAAGCTGAGAAGAAGTATGAACAGCTCAAATTGATTTGGGAAGTCACCCACAACAAGCAGAAGGAGGACGCGGACAGGAGCGCTGCTGAAATGAGGGAGATTATCATGAAGCAGTCAAGGGACATTGAAGCACTACGTCATGAACTGAAATCTCGCAGTGAGCAGAGTGAACTATTGTTCCGATTTTCGGTCTGAGGCCAAAGGCCTCTCCTGTACAGACGTTTCCTCCTCCCGGCCTGGATCTTAGCTCTAAGGTACGTATCAGGTCAGCTTCTACCGAACTCCGCCGTGATGGGCCAGGTGCCGCCGATGATCTTGACGGGGATGCCGAGGAATACGAACCGACATCTCCGGCACAGGACCCAAACGATGGTGGTGGAAATCCATCAGGCGCAGGTAAAGGCCAGAGCGGAGGCGGTGGGGAACCACCTGCCGGCAATCCCGATGATGATGATGATCATGACGACGACGATGACGACGGGAATGACGATGGGAAGAAGAGCAAGAAGGACAAGAAGAAGAAGAAGGACAAAAAGAAGAAGAGCAAGAAGGACAAAAAGAAGAAGAAGAAGAGCCACAAGAAACGAAAGGGAGTTAGGGCAGGCCATGCGCAACTTTTTTCGGACTCAAAAGTCTAGGGTCCACCCTAGGATTTTTTGCATTTTTTGAATAAGCGCCTCGAAACAGCCATTTTAAAACATTTTTTGAAACAGTCTAAACACATTTTGATAAATATTTTTTTAGTACTGCATACCAAAACAAAAATTGAATTATTTTTTGAAAAATTCAATACACCTAAACATTGTCATTTTCAAAAACATATATTTTCCAAAATATTTTAGAAAATATATTTTTTTCAAAAGAGATAAATATATATAGCATCTTAAGAAGAATTATTCAATAAGAAACAACATTTTCAATAATTCAATGAGAAGACAAATAATTAATCATTTTTCGAAATTTTGATATTCCGGAGTTGCGCATGGCCCACCTTGTAGGATTTTATCTTCAATATATAAAACGCTATACTTACATTATAATTATAACATATAAGGGTATAAATGTTATAATCATAGTATGGTTATAATTTAAATTCAGGATAACTATTTAATTGATATATCTTTCCTCTTTCATACATCATTTTAATAATACTATTAATATCTCTCACTGTATTTTTAACATTAAACTTTTCACTTTCAATAAATAATTTAATGATTTTTTTTACATCAACCCCTTCCATTTTATGATAAATCAATGCCCATAATATGTAGTCAATAATTTCATACTTTTTCTTACTGATTTTAAGAAATGCTTTAACATAATCATAAGGCGGTATTTCATACACAGTTAAAAATATCAAAATGTCATCTTCAACATTTCTTTCATTAAACCTTTTAATATCTAAATTATATTCGATTGCGTCTTGGTAATATCTCCATTTTTTACATGTTCTGCATATATTTTCTTTACCCAAAGAATAATCAACAATATTATTAACTATTCCATTAGGTAAATTTAATTTATATAATTCCATATTTTCCTCTTTGAAGTGGCAACAGTCATAGCATTTCTTATTGATATAATTATTGATTTCGGTTTCCGCCATTACACACTATATAATAATATATAGCTTTTATTTCTTTAAATACTTTTTTCCAAGAAATAAAATTAAATATTGAAATATAAGTATAACATATAATATTTTACATGTTATTATTATATTATGATTATAATTTCAGTACAGGATAATAATTTAATTGATTTGTCTTACTTCTTTCATACATCATTTTAAAAATAATATTAATATCTCTCAATGTATTTTGAACATTAAAATTTTTACTTTCAATAAATAATTTGATATTTTCTTTAACATCTTGTCCCTTCTCTTGACTATAACACAACATCCTTAATATATCATCAATCATACCATATTTTTTCTTAGGGATTTTAAGAAACTGTTTAACATAATCATAAGGCGGTATTTCATACACAGTTAAAAATATCAAAATGTCGTCTTCAACATTTCTATTATGTCTTCTTTTCAGATTTAAATGACATCTGATTAATTCTTGATTATCTCTCCATTCCTGACAAATTGTACATTCATCTTCTTCATCCATTGAATAATTAATAATATTATTCAATATTTTATTAGGTAAATTTAATTTATACAATTCCATATTTTCCTTTTTGAAGTGGCAACAGTTGTAGCATTTCTTATTGATATAATTATTGATTTCGGTTTCCACCATTTCTATTATAATATATATAGTTTTTATTTCTTTAAATACTTTTTTACAAGAAATATTAAAATATTATTTAAATTATTATCATTTACAACTACAATTGCATCTAACACAGTAAGGAATAATATTATTCAGTTCGTGTGACAACTCGTTTGATTTACGTTGCGCTGTCAGATTTGTCATTATATTACCGTTTTTAATATCCATAGAAAAACCGCATCCGCAGTAATTACATTGATTAGTGATATTATTTAAAAACCATTGCGCATTTACATAACCTTCTTTAGGTATTGTTCTTTTGGCTTTCCTGTCTTGTTCTTTGTAATTTAATATTTTCCTTTCAAAATAACTCATAATACATTTTTGATTAAATACATCATCAATATCTTTCGTATATTTATAAAATTTGACTTTGTTTAAATCTCTACACCTTGTAATTGCAGTCCATATCCATTCTGGATAATTCTTTACCAAAAAATGGTTATAATCAAAAATTGTTATGGTGTCATCAATGCTACTGCCTTGGGCAGAATGACAAGTCGAGCAATATGCAAATATAAAATTACTTCTTATTTTATCAACTGGCAAAGACTGTAGAATTTCAGTTTTAACATTTTTCAACGTAAATATTCCATCGCTTCCAATATGAACAATTTTATATTTGAAATTTACATTAAAAACTGATGTTTTAGTTGTTGTATATTCTCTACAAATTAAAAATTCTCCTACTTCATATTCATCTTTTCTATTTTCTAATTTTCTAATTTCATTTGATACATTTTTACAAGTTGTATTTAAAAATGCTATGTTGTTGATTGATTTGCTTATGTCAGTTGTATATTCAAAGTATTTTTCAATAACTTTCATAATAGGTAATTTATTTTCAAAAATATCAATTTTAATATTTCTTAGTTTATCTTTATCTTCCTGTGTGTTAAGTCGCTTACATTCTTTTAACAAAATATTATATTCAAAAATGTTATCTATAATGTTATCAGTATATACTTCATAGTCTCGAGTATTTGTTATCTCTTGAACTGGTTTTAACTGCTTGGTGTCTCCTGTTGCTATTATAATTTTGTTGTGCTTATTCTGTTCTACAAATTGTTTTATTCTCCAATATATATTTAAATTACTAAAATAAACTTCGTCAAATACTATAACATCAAAATCTGTAAAATCAAATGGTTCTAATTTAGCATCTCCATAATTAATACCGAAAAATTTATTTATTGTCATTGCTTCGCCTTCGAATGCCTGTAATAGTTTATTAGTAGGACAAATAAAAATTACATTATAATTTTTATCAACCATTTTTTGACATATATATGATTTTCCTGTGCCCGGTAGTGCTCCACGAATCATAATAGGATTATTTTGTTCAATAATTTCTATAATATTATCTGTGTCATATTCATCTACAATATCAATAGTTTTACTTTCATAAACTGGTATTTGTATTAATTCGTTTTGTGTAATTTCATAATCTACAGTAGGAAATTTAATATATTCGTCGTTTGAAATTCTCCATCCTCCTATTTCATTATTAAAGATTAAAAGCTCTCTTGCTTTTGTTATATCCGATCGCGCTATTGTAAACGCATCTGTTTTGACGCTAT